ATACTGCTTGTTGAGGCTGACAAATGAGGCAGTGATGTTGCTGTTGAAAAATGAGCGAGCGATGTTGATGTTGTTGTTCAAAATGAGGGGTTGTCACTCTCCCTCATATCTGGCGATATATGAGAGTCGAGATTTGGAGGAACCCCCCCCCCCCCCATATCTGGCGATATATGAGAGTTGAGATTTAGAGGAAGCAACACCTAAATAAAGTTGTGTTGATGTTTAGTGGATGTTGCTTGATTTGAATGATTAATTTGCAATTATATCTATGTGTATACTATTGATTGGTTAATGCTTCTAACAATCTCATGACCATAGTAGGTGGATGGACAAATAGATTGTAGTAGTTGCCTGAAGGTATCTGGATCATGTTCATTTGAAAACTTTACAAAGAATTCCAACTGATGCTTAAGGAGCGAGCAATTGTGTTAGAAGATGAAGAGGAAGATGAAGATGAGGATCATGAGGACGATGAAGAGGTTGTTTGAATTAATATTAGTTTGTTGCTATATAGGCTTAAGGTTTAAATAATGTACATATTCCCACATACTGCTTATTGCAGCTGAAAAATGAAGCAGCAATGTTGTTGCTGAAAAATGAGTGAGCGATGTTGATGCTTAAAAATGAGCGAGCGATGTTCCTGCTAACAATACAGTAGCGATCTTGTTGTTCAAAATGAGAGGTTGTCACTCCCCCTTATATCTGGCGATATATGATAGTCGAGATTTGGAGGAAGCAACACCAAAATAAAGTTGTGTTAATGTTCAGTGGATGTTGCTTGATTTGAATGATTAATTTGCAATTATATCTATGTGTATACTAATTGATTGGTTAATGTTTCTAACAATCTCATGACCATAGTAGGTGGATGGACAAATAGATCGTAGTAGTTGCCTGAAAGTATCTGGATCATATTCCTCCGAAAACTTCACAAAGAATTACAATTGATGCTTAAGGAGCGAGCAAATTTGCAAGAAGATGAAGAGGAAGATGAAGTTGAGGATCATGAGGAAGATGAAAAGGTTGTTTGAATTAATATTAGTTTGTTGTTATATAGGCTTAAGGTTTAAAGAATGTACCTATTCCCACATACTGCTTGTTGCAGTTGAAAAATGAGACAGTGATGTTGCTGTTGAAAAATGAGCGAGCGATTTTGTTGCTAAAAAATGAGCGAGCCATGTTGCTGCTAACAATAAGGTAGCGATGTTGTTGTTCAAAATGAGGGGTTGTCATTCCCCCTTATATCCGCCGACATATGAGAGTCGAGATTTGGAGGAAGTAAGACCAAAATAAAGTTGTGTTGATGTTCAGTGGATATTGCTTGATTTGAATGATTAATTTGCAATTATATCTATGGGTATACTAATTGATTGGCTAATGCTTCTATGATATGTATATGTACCCATTTTTAGTGCACGGATGTCCTCCCAAAGTGAAGCTCAAGGAGATGTTCTTTGCAACTATCAAGGAATAGGATGCGGAATAGTTGAGCAAAGCAGCTGAACTCAAGTTCAAGTTGAAGGCCCTCCTAGCCTAAGGGATATAGTAGATGATTATGCTTGCTCTTTTTTTTGTTTAATCAATAGTATAAACTGAGTATATGTATACTAATTTGTAATTATTTCTATATGTATACTAATTGATTGACTAATGCTTCTATGATATATATATTCATTTTGGTGCAGGGAGGTTCTCCCAAAGTGAAGCTCATGGAGAAGTACTTTGCAACTATCAAGGAGGAGGAAGCAACACCAAAATATGGTTTGTGTTGATGCTTAGTGGATGTTGCTTGATTTGAATGATTAATTTGCAATTATATATATGTGTATACTAATTGATTGGCTAATTCTTCTATTATATGTATATGTACCCATTTTTGGTGTAAGGATGTCCTCCCAAAGTAAATCTCAAGGAGATGTACTTTGCAACTATCAAAGGAGAGGACGGGGAGAGGTATGGGTAGAGCAGCTGAACCCAAGCTCAAGTTGAAGGTTCTTTTATCCTAAGGGATATAGTAGATGCTGTTGCTATATATTTATGTACGTACTTTGGGATTTGTTTGATTTTTTAATTGGCTGGCTATATATCATTATATCATAAGTAAAGTTTTGTACTTTTATTGTCTCTCTCATCTTTCATCTCTTTTCAAGTTAAGTGGAAGAACTAAGAGCTCTGAAATATAAGAGGGTGACATATGAATTCAACAAAAGAAGCTAGGTTAGGCTAGCTAATTAAGTACCATGCATATGTCTATAAAAAGCTGAATTCAACCAAAGATGATAATTTAGGCTAGCAAATTAAGGCTTAGTTTGGTATTGCTGTGCTTTTTAAAAAAACTGCTTCTGCTGTGCTGCGAGAATAAACAGTTGTGAAGTGAAGCAGCTAGGTGTTTGGTAATTCGTATTTGTAAAAGTGTTGTGAGTAAAAAAAGCAGTGTCATAGCGTTTGGTAAACTTTTTTTTAGAAGTGCTGTGAGAGTGTATAATGACCAAAAAGGGCATAATACAAAAGTGTTATTTATTTATTTATTTATTTTTTAAAACACAAGGAAGTTCAATACACTTACAATTTTTTTTTAAAGAATCTTAATTATAATTTACACTTTTCCCACACAAAAACAAAAACAAATTATTAAAAATAATAAATAAATAAAAATTAAAAACTCAAAACCAGCCGACACCTTTCTTTTTGCCTTTTTCTCATTTTTATTTGTTTCTTCCTCTTCACTTCCTTTCTTTATTCTTCTTCCCTTCCTGTTTTCTTTTCTTCCTCTTTTCCTCTTCCTTCCCAGGCCCCCCACCTCTCGCCCTTTTTTCCTTTCCTCTTCTCCTCCTTTCTCTTTTCTTCTTCCTTCCAAGACTTCTTCCCTTCCCATGTTTTTTTTTTAATTCTTCCTCTTTTCTTCTACCTTCCCAGGCCTCTTTTCTTCCTCTCTGGTTCTTTCTTCCCAGCCTCCCCCGCCACTCCATCGCCATCTATCTTCACTCTTTTTTTCCCCTTTCTTTCTTCCTCTTCCTCTTCTTCTTCTCTCCCTCCCCATCCGCCACTGCCAGGCCCCCTCCCCCCCCCCCCCCC